CACACAGGGACTTGGTGTGAGAGCACAGCATCAGTTTGGAAATAACCCCCTTTCAATTACCCTGCTGTACAGGTTACAACCAATTCAGAATGGGGACTCTGAACAATGCAATTTCATTCGCACCGGGGTCTTAAGGTATCTTTCACTAACGCATGAGTGCTGTGAAACTCTTCTAAAAACATCATTGTAACATTGTTGTTAAAAAGAAAATGAAAGTACATTCTTGGTACACAAAGAACAAACGAGCCACAATAAATGTGAGCAAACACAAAGGTCTCTCTATACATTTACTAAGCAAAAATATTTCATCTGAATTTTCTATTTCAGAGTAAATGATACGGAACTGCCACTACTTTATCACATACACATGAGCACATATCAAATTTCAAGGAACTAGCGAGTCACCTACAAGGACCACAGTAGTCTATTCATTCAGTAATTGTCTTACCACTGCCCATGCCGTTCATCTTTAGCAAGTTGAAGCAATGCCTGGCGCTCTCCTCCCCATTGGCCAGACCACTCAGCATGTCAATGTAAGCAACGTAGAGAGACGGGGGCAGCAGATCGCCAGCCATACGGATGAACTTGAACAGGCTTGCCTGGACAACGCCCCCCCCAAAAAAACAAACAAAATCAAGGTTGAATAGCTTCAAGCTAAACTAAACCCTTATCTGAGGGTCATATAAGCTGGGAGGGGGGGAGATCTAATGGGCACAGCTGTTGAAATTGGTCATAACTTTTAACCCCTTCGCTACGGTCTATTCACCATGCAGCTGCTGGTTCACTGGGGCCTGCTGCTGGACAAAGCCCTCCATTCAGGGCATACCGCAGCCCAGCAGTCACGGTCAAAATAATCCCGCCGTGAAGGGGTTAAGGAAAAGAATTTAAACAAATATGCTGGATTCAATTTTTGGCAAGTTTCAAGCAACCATTGAAGCATCAGCAGATAGCGTGAATCATAAATGTATTACAACTGGAGTGCATCTTGTCTAACCAAATGGTTCTCGGCAGAACAAGAACACGTTGAGGGAAAGTTACTTATATTCATGGCTGAGAGACCTTTACATGTACACACTTTGTGAAAAGTTATTTCTTCACAAAAGTTGACTTTCAATTAACTGTCAATCTTATTTTGATTCTTTTTAATTTGTAAATTATTCAATTGCTGATTTGTAACATGATCAGTTTGGATAATCCTCTGGAATCTTCATACAGTCCAAGTCATTACCCTTTATCTCATGGCAGTTTTGCAAATCCTATTACAGAGTCTGGAAGACTGAGTTATAGGTTTGGTACTTAAAGGTCATAGGTTTTGGTACTTAAAGGTCATTGGTTTGGTACTTAAAGGTCATAGGTTTTGGTACTTAAAGGTCATAGTTTGGTACTTAAAGGTCCTAGGTTTTGGTACTTAAAGGTCATAGGTTCAGTACTTAAAGGTCATAGGTTTGGTACTTAAAGGTCTTAGGTTTGGTACTGAAAGGTCCTTACAGTAGTTACATAGATTTTGGCAGATACTCTTAAGGCCTTATTCTTAACTTGAAAGAAACGTTTTAATGCAACAGATTAATTTCCAGATGATTCTATTTGTTCAACTGCTTTTGGGGGCCAATACACTTAAGTTTCACCAAAGCATTAATGGTCAAACAGGACCTTTTGGTGTAATTTTTCAATAAGGACTCTACAGCCTACCGACATGACAAAGTGTAAGATTACAAACTAGTAAACTCAACAGAGAAAGTGCTTGTCCTTATAGGATTATAAGAGATCTTATGCTTAGATGACCTACGCACAGTGAGCACTCAATTTTTAAAATTTACGTTATTTGTAAAACAGATTATGCACACTATGTGTCAAATGTAAGGCTCCAATAGTTCAAATTCCGACACGGCTAGGCTGAAGGGTCACATGACTTTCTCTGTTACCTGTCTAGGTGATTGGCGCTGGTGAGGGTGAGACACATAGGTAGCGCTTGCTGAGGGGCTGCTGCTATGGTCCGGTGTGCACCAGTACTCTAAAGGTAGCTCCAAGCCAAGGGGGTCATTTCCATATAGAGCACCCAGCTAGAGATGATTGGGAAGGGGGCAGGAAAAAGAGAACACCATTATTCAGCAGTGGTTACAAGAATTAAAACATTGTTAGAAATGGAACTTGGTATTAAGGGATGGGTATTAAGGGATAGGTATTAAGGGATAGGTATTTTACAAACAAAACATTGTCCTGCACAAGCTGGCAACTTTCAATTCTCAGTGCTTGTCCGGAACCCCTGAGAAAATATCGGACCAAATGTCTCATATTCAGACTGATGGTACCCTTAAGCAATTCACGGACCAAACCATCACTGGGTTATTCTGGGTAGAATCTTTATTTTCTTTTTATCAATCAAGGGAGACCATCTCATTTTTGGCACAAGATGTTCATGTATCATACGGAGATTGATGAGAAACAGTTCTATGACAAGCCCTATTACGTTGGCCAGCCATGGCTTTGTCAAGCTTAATTTGATGCAAAAAGAAAATGTTTACTAAGCTGAAAAAAACCTGAGATTTAAAAAAAATTCTATATACTTAAAAACTACCATCAATGTTAATTGTTCTCTGACACTCCGACATTTTCAGCATAAGGTACAGTTTGCCAGAAATGAAAATGACAGACAGGTTTTTATACATCTGAAAATGCCAAGACATCCTGGAAGTAATAGAAGTCTTTTGAGATCTCACCAATTTCATGAAATCCTGAAAATGCCGGGGTAGAGTGGAAGGCGGTTCCACTCCTTCCAGCTCATAAGCCATGATGGTACGGCCCACGTCATCACCACGGTTACGCATATCCTTCACCTGAGGGAAAATGGTCAATTGCAAACTTCAATTTCTGCCGTATAATCAACAGCCAACTGGCAAATGCATACCTCAAAGATGCTTGAATCTACAAGCTTTCATATGTAACATGTTGCTTAATGTTTCTCCCACCCCTCTAAAACTCGACATTTCAATGAAGGTCTTCATCGTCGTAATACAATCAAAATGACACAGAAGGTTCTTTTTGTGAAGCAATTTGTACTTTAAACAGCAGATTTTAGTTTTGGATTCAAGACAAAACTTGCTTGCTCCAGCAGGTGTAACCTTGATATATAGTGGCCACCTGCGGTACTGGCTGTTTGTGGCCACTAGGGCAGGTGGCCACTATAGCGAGGCTGCACACGTGCACATGCTCATGATGTTTATACACACGTACATGTACAAACCCACATTTGTGCGACTGTATGTACACATAAAGTCTCTAGTTGAATAATACATGTACGTGTGATACTAACAATGCTAACAAAATGTATCAGTCTGAAGCACAAACTTTATTTTGAAGGTATTTCTTGCTCCCAAGACACGAGAATGGCAAGAAGAAATCTGGATACATTTTTAACTTTTGTTCATGATGTAGACTTCACACAAGTGTGACACTTCAAATCAAAATCAACGATAAAAAATGAGCTCACAAATACTTCGCATTTACAACAAACGATGCGACAACCTTGCGCGTGGCATGCAAAGTGAACAATATATTCGTCTGCGCGCTCGGTTTAATTTGTATAACATACAACATAGTCTGGGAACTAAACAACGGGGAGAATTTCAAAGTCAATAGAGGGTGCACTTCATTTTTAAGGCCGGAGTACAAAGGTTTTACTGCAATGTAATTGTACACAAATGCTTCCATCCGGGCTGGCCGCTGGCTGCATTATGCAGTGGCCGCAATAGCAAGACATGGTTACAGTATGTTTAAGTGAGGATCAAACTGGGACCAACTAACGCGGCCAGTTTAGAGAGGTGGCTGCTATAATAAAGTGGCACTATAACTGAAATGAAACAAAGCTGACAGTTGATCAAGCAATAAGTTGACACTAATTTAGGCAATTATCAAATGGCAATAATAAAAGCTTAAAAATGTTTTTTATATAAAATTGAACTTCTTTCAAAGTGAGTCTTTCCCACCTTGAGTGGCATCTGAACTATGAAGTCAGTCACCAGACCATGAAGCCTCCGAGCGCAAAACTCCTGCATGGAGAAAATGGGACGACCAGATTCAAAAATGATCAACATTCAGGAATGATGGGGAAATAAGGTTGAAAAACAATCTGAATAAATTGAAACATAATTTTCTGTGCACATTTTGTAGCAGATACTGCCCGACTGCAGACGATACCTGACATTTAGCTTGCATAAAAAGGTCACATGCTCTCGTCTCCCGTAATGGACTTGTACTAAGTGATCATAAAAGGCCAACAGTAACCAAATGATGTCCCTAATGTGGTACACCCTAACATGTGGTGAATGCAGTAACCATCTCAATACCAGATATCTTCACAAGACAGGGCAGAAACTTTGTTCTTCAAGGGGAAAGGAAATTTCTTCATTGCAAAGGGCACTTCTGTCAGAAATCAACTTGTCCATGAGGCCAATTCTCACCAACTGGTGGAAGTTCCCCGAGGCCACCACGGCATCCGTGAGAAATCGGAAGACGTTATCCTTCATGGCATCATCCACTATCATCTCGTCCTCCTCAATAAAGTCCTGCATGGCTGCAGGTGCAAAAGAGGCAAGGTAGCATCAAGAAAAAGCAATGACCTGAAGAACAACCTTCTCCACCGACAAAACCAACTAATCCTTGGGATAGGTAAATGCTGTCTTGTGAGGTTAGTGTTTATGGATAGGAAATGATAGACCCAAATTTAACAGATGACAGAATACAAGATCTTACCGAGGAGAAAAGAAGAATGCATCATGGAATGGACAAATTAAAAAAAACATCACAACTACGAATTAAATGTCCACCTAGATGATGATGATACAAAACACAGTAACAGAAAGAACGTCATGTTAGCAGAGTTTTCCCAATGGTGTAAACAATCAACAAATAACATTTTATACATGTGAATCAGCCTGCAGGCTGCAAATTGAGTGAAAAAAATGAAATCACTTCATTTTCTTACAAAGTTGCTTCTCCCTTTTTTAGCACAAAATGGACTGACCAAAATCTGCATGTACCTGTCAGTTTCGACATTGAATTGGTAACTGATTTTTACTTCAAAACTGAAATCACTCTATAGTTTCAATCCAGTTTTAGCTCATATACTTATGTGAAGGAAAAACCTGTTTAATATACAGAGCTCAAAACTTTGCGAAAATGCAGCACCATCAGGGCAACATGGTGAATGTGACAGTAACTTACTGGACCCCTTTAATGAGCTTTGTGTCTCATACAGTTTTGTTGGTTGGATGTAGGTAACTGTCCTGCGCGAGTCTCGGCAGCAAACTTGTGCCATGCCTGATGGTGATTCCAACATACTCACCGTCGACTTCCGGCTGTTGGGCTACGTTGCGCAGCATCAGGGCCCACGCGAAGCGCAGCACTGCTGCGATCCCTGGGCACGCCCACTCTGCCTCGTCTTTGACAATCATCTGATGGAGATCGGGTAGGAACTCTGCGTCGTTGAGGACCGGCAGCTGCTTGGTCAACTCTGGTGTAGGGGAATGATCCAAGGGGGTAGGATCAAATGATGTGAGTGTTACAGACTACTGTAACTTTTTAATTGCGGCCGGGGGGGAGGATTGGAGGAAAGTGAAAGATCCACAAAATGATCACCAGAGGTCTTGAGGGTCCTTTGGCAGCATAGGTTTTATGGTATACATCTGTCTGCCTAAGGGCACACTTTAAAATACCCATTTCTGGCATGCAACTTGGAGTTTGACAAAACATGCGGAAATTCCAATCTTTACACGACTGTACGAGTGTTTTTCCATTTTCAAATCAGCTGATCCGAGGAAAAGCTGCATGCCTGCCATTTCTTGCGTTCTATTGCAATTTTTATGCGCAAAAACGCCTTGACGGTAAACTCAAGAGTTTTTGCAGATTTGAAACGCGATCATTTGACAAATGCTTAAATCGGATAAATCCTGACAGAAACAATCCTGAAATCAAGAAAAGCCTCACAAATCTTACCCTTATAACTTAAACTATTGAGTTTACATTGGAAAGAGTGAAGCATGCTCTTCATTTTGATTTACATGCATTTATACACAGTCTGACATCCTGGTGGAAAAAAACCTTGGAAACGCATAGTCAATTCCAATGATATCCATTCAGCAAGATTTGTAGGCCTGTAGGTTAAGCATGTGCCATTTTCTGAATCATTGGATATTTAATCAATTATCTGCAATTCATTTTTGAAATAAAATATTTGGCAATCAATGCAATTATTTGCTGATAAAATTACATTCGTAAAGTACATTTCAAGATGTGAACAGCAATATGCTCAATAACAAGGCAAAAAAGTGTATTTCTTTCAAGTTTTGTTTCTGCATTAGTATCTTTATCCAGTTGGTTCAGTTTGGGTCAATTTCACCTTAATTCGTGCCAGGCCAGGTCGGACTTAGTAGTACAGACCAATTTGAGTTGGATTCACTTTATGTCTGTCATGTTTTGGGTCGATTTGACCTGTTTAACCTGACCTGACACAAGTATGACTCAGGACCGTACCGTCTCGATCCTCAGGCCTGGTCTCCGTCAGCCCGCCCACATCCAGGCAGTACAGGCAGGCCATCAGAAGGGACAAGGTGACACCATCGAGCCGGCCGTCCGCTTCCAAGCCAGCGTGCCGCCTGAGGTGGTCAATCAGCAGGCCCGCATCCTGCCGGCTGGGTGCAGACTGGCAGGCCCAGGCAAAGAGGCACTCGGCCAGGGAGGAACGGATCTCCTTCAACATTTCCATCACCTAAGAAACCAATTGGAAGGAAGTAAAAGCAACATCCATCCTTCAGGCCAAATCAATTTATAACCTGCATTTTTGCTCTGTGCAAAGGTTCAAGATATAATACCCCCATGTACATACAAACAATAGGAAACACAATGAGGACTTTCTCAAGAGGCAAATCTCATACTACAGGGATATTCCATTTTTCCAGAGAGTTAGTTCTGTTATGGGTAAAATCTGAAACTGAGAGTCTCCCTCATTAAGACTGTGCCTGTAGCAAAGCAGTGTTAGAAACTGCTGTGTTCACACTCTCACAAAGAATGTTCAGGAGGTTTCTTTCTGCTGATGCTGTAATGCTCGAAAATCAAACATCTGACCTCGTTTTGGGAACAATAACAAAATCTCTTCTTAACTACCATCCTGCTGTCATTTGCCGACATTATGATGGTGTAATTATGGCAAAACTGGCCCAGTTAAAAAGACAAGTGAATAATGTAAACAAAATGAAGAACATAGCAGAAATAGTGCTTCACTGTCCTCCACAGCACATCTCACAGTTACATTAACGCAGTACCAGCATGGCTGTACAACCTTTTAACCAAGGTCAAGCCAATACCAATACAGTGGATATGACACTTTCAACCTTGGGCAAGATCAGGTAATGCACCATGTGGGGTACATACGTCTTTGTGGCCTGTCACGTGACTGATTCTCAACCAATAAAAATTGCAATCACAAACGATTCCGAGTCTCTCTCTCTAAGCTGCAAAACTGAGATCACTTCGTTTCCAAGAGATGGCTTTGTGACGAAAGATTTACAGTAATAACATGAGGAACCATGTCCCTCAAAACTCCAAAACTGACCTCATGCCTGTGCCTGGCATCTCCTAGTGCCCTGGCCTGGCCCAGTTTGTCCATCTGTTTCTCGACGTCCGTCTCTAAGAGGAGTGTGAGAATCTTACGCATCAGACCATCTCGGATGAGCTCATCCGTGAAGCGGGTGGTCAAGTCCGAGACTTCATCCTCTAGCTCAAGAGTCCAGGTGCGGCCTGTGACAGATGAGATTGACGTCACTTTAACTGCATCTGCTTTCAGATGCGACTTGAGCTTTAATCAAATTCCTTTTTAAGTATGCTCGTTAAAAGGCCATGGCTACTGTCCAGTCTTTCACTAGTCCCAATAAGTCTCTCCGAATCTTGTCTTTAGTGATCTAGTCTTAATCCAAGCCAAAAGATATTCAAATGAACTTTGAGAAAACACATTCCTTTGCCATCTCCACATTGTTAACCCAAACCCTCCAGCCCACTTTGGTTACAAACCCTGCCAGACACATCATGTGCCAAAGTGGCTTGCCTGTCCAGTGTAACAAGATCCAACAGGTCGACTCTCCCCAAGGCCAAACAGCCAGGGAGTCGGTGGTTATCAATCACCACAAAATCTAACAGTGGCATTATTGGTTGTCTCAGCATGGCCAGCTTGTGCGGCTGCTGTTGATTGCCCAGTGCATCAAAGTGCATCAGACTTTTTTTTACCTGATGCATTGTCCTGCATCTGGCAGGGTTAGGGTTAATATCTAAGCCGATACTCCAAAATCTTCTCAAACCTTCCAGAGTACTGAAAGGATGCGGAAAAGTAAAAGTTAATCAAATGACCTGATTTGACAAGTTTAATAGGACAGCGTGTTTCACCAAGGTGATCAAATGAAAATGACCAGATGTCTTGTAAACTGCCAGTGTCTCTGTGCCACTGCTAGACAGTGCAACACCAAGGTTTTAACGTGCATGACAAACCTTTGCGAGATTGGATAAGAAGCTGTAGGGCATTAATGACACTCCTACGGCCGTCGTAATACAGCAAAACAGCCACAAGACCTCGGGTAAGACCTGGAAAATGGGGCTGCTGTTGCTCTCCTGGGGTGGGGAGGGGAGGGGGAAATAAACAAACGAGTATTGAACAAATAAGCAAATGCCACAGCGTCATTAGCAAGCAGTTTTTAAGGCACGATGTCAAAAAGACTTTAATCGGCGCACTGCGGTGCACTCCACAGCGCTGAGGGTCGGCATGCCCCAGCTGACTGACCTACTTAGTGTTCCTGCATAACAAAGGGTACAGATTTGCATAATGCTTTCACGGATGACTGCACTCTGGATACTTGTAGGCAGCCGTGGTGCGCCGACAGAATCACAGACACTCATCCGATGCTAGCAATTTTCACTATTAAAGGCTTTCTCTTTCTGTTGGAAAAAAAAAGCATCTTTGAATTTTGTCCAGGCATCTGTGTACCGACTTTAAACTGCCCTCCTGGCTTATCAAACCATCGTCATCAACCGCCCTCCTCCACGCTCAACTGTCAACATACCAATCGTCGAGATGCAAACAAGAAACCAGAAACCAATCGATATATAAGCTCTACATATTCTCAGTTATCATTGGTTGTTAAACTTGAAAGCCCACTACCTCTACCGTCAGCTATTTAAAGCAGTGTCAGTCAATGGCCGGAAATGAAATTCTGCAGTCACAATGACATCAATTATTACATCCCCTTACTGTAGAGTTGGCGCTTTTGATTGCGAGAAGACAAACCAAAATTACCATAGGGTCCGAATGTATTCATTGAGTATTGGTTTTGGCCGTGCTGAAATTGATTCCTCTGCCTCGGAATATTTTTCCAGGCTCGATTTACTTTAGCTTGATTTAGCCTTTAAATAATGTTTTCTCAACACTTAGGAACTTGGAATAGCTTTTCTCAGACTCAAAATATTTTCCCAAAGACTTAGAACATAATATCCCAGAACCAGGAATACATGTATAAAAAAAAAAATCTCCATCCTCAGAATACTTCTTCCCGCCTCACAATATTTTTCCCTGCGTCAGAAATTATGTTTTATTTGACTATCAATATTCTCCACAAGACTCAAAGCTTTCGCTGGACTCAGAATACATTCTCAAGACTTAAAATATTAATATTTAAATGGCTCATGAATTATTCCTGGCTTCAGTATCATGATTTTCCCGCCTCAAATTTTATCCCTGTTTTCAAATTATTTTCCCAGACTCAAGAAAAGTTTCAGCAAATTCAATATTTCCCAGAGCTTCCTTAACACTTAATATGTTATATCCCTGCCTGGAGAACGTTTTGCAGGACTTAGATAATTTCTATCCAGCTGTGGTATATAATTTCTCACCCCGTAATTCCTTTCCACGCTTAATTTTTTCTCTAGGAATAAAAACCTTCATCAAGCAAGCTCGTGATCTATTCCAAAGACGGAAATCCCATTTCCACTGCAAAGCTTTAAATACATTTCTGTATTTCACTTTTTTCAAGTCTGAAGAGAGACGTACATGAAGAGACATATGCTGTGATGGGGAGGATGATTATTTTTGGCGGATTGACT